CAGTTCCTGCTGCGCGCATGATACAGTTCCTGCTGCGCGCATGATACAGTTCCTGCTGCGCGCATGATACAGTTCCTGCTGCTCGCATGATACAGTTCCTGCTGCGCGCATGATACAGTTCCTGCTGCGCGCATGATACAGTTCCTGCTGCGCGCATGATACAGTTCCTGCTGCGCGCATGATACAGTTCCTGCTGCGCGCATGATACAGTTCCTGCTGCGCGCATGATACAGTTCCTGCTGCGCGCATGATACAGTTCCTGCTGCGCGCATGATACAGTTCCTGCTGCGCGCATGATACAGTTCCTGCTGCGCGCATGATACAGTTCCTGCTGCGCGCATGATACAGTTCCTGCTGCGCGCATGATACAGTTCCTGCTGCGCGCATGATACAGTTCCTGCTGGCGCGCATGATACAGTTCCTGCTGCGCGCATGATACAGTTCCTGCTGCGCGCATGATACAGTTCCTGCTGCGCGCATGATACAGTTCCTGCTGCGCGCATGATACAGTTCCTGCTGCGCGCATGATACAGTTCCTGCTGCGCGCATGATACAGTTCCTGCTGCGCGCATGATACAGTTCCTGCTGCGCGCATGATACAGTTCCTGCTGCGCGCATGATACAGTTCCTGCTGCGCGCATGATACAGTTCCTGCTGCGCGCATGATACAGTTCCTGCTGCGCGCATGATACAGTTCCTGCTGCGCGCATGATACAGTTCCTGCTGCGCGCATGATACAGTTCCTGCTGCGCGCATGATACAGTTCCTGCTGCGCGCATGATACAGTTCCTGCTGCGCGCATGATACAGTTCCTGCTGCGCGCATGATACAGTTCCTGCTGCGCGCATGATACAGTTCCTGCTGCGCGCATGATACAGTTCCTGCTGCGCGCATGATACAGTTCCTGCTGCGCGCATGATACAGTTCCTGCTGCGCGCATGATACAGTTCCTGCTGCGCGCATGATACAGTTCCTGCTGCGCGCATGATACAGTTCCTGCTGCGCGCATGATACAGTTCCTGCTGCGCGCATGATACAGTTCCTGCTGCGCGCATGATACAGTTCCTGCTGCTCGCATGATACAGTTCCTGCTGCTCGCATGATACAGTTCCTGCTGCGCGCATGATACAGTTCCTGCTGCGCGCATGATACAGTTCCTGCTGCGCGCATGATACAGTTCCTGCTGCGCGCATGATACAGTTCCTGCTGCGCGCATGATACAGTTCCTGCTGCGCGCATGATACAGTTCCTGCTGCGCGCATGATACAGTTCCTGCTGCGCGCATGATACAGTTCCTGCTGCGCGCATGATACAGTTCCTGCTGCGCGCATGATACAGTTCCTGCTGCGCGCATGATACAGTTCCTGCTGCGCGCATGATACAGTTCCTGCTGCGCGCATGATACAGTTCCTGCTGCGCGCATGATACAGTTCCTGCTGCGCGCATGATACAGTTCCTGCTGCGCGCATGATACAGTTCCTGCTGCGCGCATGATACAGTTCCTGCTGCGCGCATGATACAGTTCCTGCTGCGCGCATGATACAGTTCCTGCTGCGCGCATGATACAGTTCCTGCTGCGCGCATGATACAGTTCCTGCTGCGCGCATGATACAGTTCCTGCTGCGCGCATGATACAGTTCCTGCTGCGCGCATGATACAGTTCCTGCTGCGCGCATGATACAGTTCCTGCTGCGCGCATGATACAGTTCCTGCTGCGCGCATGATACAGTTCCTGCTGCGCGCATGATACAGTTCCTGCTGCGCGCATGATACAGTTCCTGCTGCGCGCATGATACAGTTCCTGCTGCGCGGATGATACAGTTCCTGCTGCGCGCATGATACAGTTCCTGCTGCTCGCATGATACAGTTCCTGCTGCGCGCATGATACAGTTCCTGCTGCGCGCATGATACAGTTCCTGCTGCGCGCATGATACAGTTCCTGCTGCGCGCATGATACAGTTCCTGCTGCGCGCATGATACAGTTCCTGCTGCGCGCATGATACAGTTCCTGCTGCGCGCATGATACAGTTCCTGCTGCGCGCATGATACAGTTCCTGCTGCGCGGCATGATACAGTTCCTGCTGCGCGCATGATACAGTTCCTGCTGCTCGCATGATACAGTTCCTGCTGCGCGCATGATACAGTTCCTGCTGCGCGCATGATACAGTTCCTGCTGCGCGCATGATACAGTTCCTGCTGCGCGCATGATACAGTTCCTGCTGCGCGCATGATACAGTTCCTGCTGCGCGCATGATACAGTTCCTGCTGCGCGCATGATACAGTTCCTGCTGCGCGCATGATACAGTTCCTGCTGCGCGCATGATACAGTTCCTGCTGCGCGCATGATACAGTTCCTGCTGCGCGCATGATACAGTTCCTGCTGCGCGCATGATACAGTTCCTGCTGCGCGCATGATACAGTTCCCACCCTCACCCCTCGCCTCACTCGTGCCCATCCTGCCATCCCACATGCAGTCAGACACCTCGCCTGCAGCCGCCTGCCATGCTGTGCGCCCACCAACAACCAACGCGCTGGTCGCGACGCCAATAGCCACCATTCCTAGCAATCCCCCGCGCTCATCCGCTCTTTGCTCCAAATCGCTTGACCCTGGACCGTTCTCCCTCAGCCAGTCCCTCCCGCAGCCCCTCCCTCACCACGCCACCATCGCTCCCTTCCCGTTTCTTTCGCTGATTCCCCTACCTCTCCACACCTATTAAGGCGCTTAACAAGTCGCTCCCTTCCCACCGAACAAGCCATTTCGCCCCCGTCGCTGCCACGATTTCCCCGCCATTCTCACCCGCTCAAACGCGCGTTCGTCGGGCCACCACGCCTGCACGAGCGCCGCCAGGTGGAACGCCGCTTCGCAGCCCTCGGCCGCAGCCAATACAGACGCGCCATCTGTCACGTCGCCGTACGCGCGCTCCGCCGCCAACGGCAGGTCCGACACGTCGCTGCTGCGCCGAACCAGCACCCGAACCTGCGCTAGTGGTTCGGGAAGAAGGGATGACTGGCGATATGGTACGGTGCTGCTCACACGAGACTCCAAACGGCGTAACTTAATCGCCTATTCGTTGCACGAATCGCACGCATACGACCAGCACGACATGGGTGTTATAGCGAACAAGCCAAAAACGGAGCCTCACATTGTGTCCCACTTCAACGAGCCGCGCTACAAGCGCCGTGCCTAGAAAGCCCGTGGCACCTGTCACTAGAATCCGCATGGCGGAGCAGTCGCAAGCGCGGACCGAGTTGGCGCGACGGCGCGCGGAGGGATGTACCACGAGCGGAGTCGAGATGAGAGGGGTTCCGCGGCTTGACGCGGATTCCGCCTTCTAGAGCTACGGCCTCTCGCAAGTGAACGCGTGGGGAGGAGCTCCTTAAGCCACGGGTACTAACCCTTACCCGACCCGAGGCTCCCTGTGTGTCCGGATTTGCGTCGAATTCGCCAGCGTCGGCAACTCATCAAAGACGTCAGCCAGAATTTAGTGGCCAACCTAAGGAGAAAGTCCTCGCCGGCTTGCCGGCCTTGGGCTGTCGTGGCGTGGAGTGTGAGCGAGTGAAGACGAATGCGCAGGTGTGTGGAGATCGCCAAGGTAACCCGCCCTCGTTTTCTTTCGCACATGCAAAGTGAGTTCGCACACACCCAACCCGTTTTAGCACCAAGCGCAATTACTGTATACTGAAACCAAGGGGTACTGCATCGTGTGTTTCCCCGTTCATAGCAACAGCGGTTCCGCTTTCGACCTGCTCTGATTTTCCTCCTACTGTGATTGTATCTGCGTTGGTCAGGCACGCAAGACAAACCACTCCCCCAGAGACTGATAATGCGCGTGGCACGCGCTAGCGCGGATGGGATTCCGAAAAAGTAGCGTCTAATCCGCTACCGCGAATCCAACTGGGATGCGTAAGGCTGGGCTGATGCGAGGGTTGTGGGAGATGACGATCACGGGAAAAAACGGGAGCTTCGGGTCAAGCCAGGTCAGACTCCGTATTCCCTCAGTGATGCCACGTGTTCAAAGAAGTGATCGTTGAGCGGTGCCGTGAATCCATAGCACGCCACGTCACCACCGCCACCGCGAGGTTCCGCCTTTTCAATCCACTGAGGAAGGTCGAAGTTCCCTCGGGCAGATCGCAGTCGCAGAACCTTGGCGCTTTTCTCTCCTGCGCGCTCTCGCTCTCCTGCTCTCCTGCTCTCCTGCGCTCTCTCGCTCTCCTGCTCTCCTGCGCTCTCTCGCTCTCCTGCTCTCCTGCTCTCCTGCTCACCTCCTTACTCACGCCGTGCCGTGCGCCGTATCTGCCGCTGCTTCCGCGTCTGCGGGAACCATGTGGGACGGGGAGGAGGAGGAAGCCGACAAAGTGTGCCACACGCGCGCGGAGTATCGGGCGGGGAGGCGCGAGAGGGCTGTGCGCGTTTACACTGTGAACGATGAGTCAAGGTGCGGTGGGGTAGTGTGGTGTGGTGTGGGATAGGATGGGATGGGATGGGATGGGATGGGATGGGATGGGATGGGATGGGATGGGATGGGATGGGATGGGATGGGATGGGATGGCATGGGATGGGATGGGATGGCATGGGATGGCATGGGGTGGGGTGGGGTGGGGTGGGGTGGGGTGGGATGGGGTGGGGTGGGGTGGGGTGGGGTGGGATGGGATGGATGTTTCTCTACACAGCCCTGTGCATCTCTGGCAGTAACCACACCTGATGGCTTCTGCTTTGCGCCTCTTTGCTGCACCCCTCGCCATCACACGCCTCTCTATCGCACTGCTCTCTATCGCACCGCTCTCTATCGCACCGCTCTCTGTCGCACCGCTCTCTGTCGCACCGCTCTCTATCGCACCGCTCTCTATCGCACCGCTCTCTGTCGCACCGCTCTCTGTCGCACCGCTCTCTATCGCACCGCTCTCTATCGCACCGCTCTCTATCGCACCGCTCTCTGTCGCACCGCTCTCTGTCGCACCGCTCTCTATCGCACCGCTCTCTGTCGCACGGGTCACTGCAGGTACCTGATGGTACGCAACGTGCCGGCGCTGGGGTGTGTGGACGACCTGCTCCGACTGTTCTCCGCGCATGGACCCATTGAGGAGTGAGTTAGAGGGCAGTGTGAGCCAGCGGCGCCTGCTGTAGCATGGCATCATCACATGGCAGTGCCTTGTGAACGATTCTTGCATGCATTCATTCACGTCCTTGGAGCTGCTTCATGTGTTTCATGCCAGCACACCACCATTCCATCATCCCACCATGCCGATTTGACATCACACCACCACGGCACGACATGACGTGGCACCACATGACATGACATGGCATGGCATGGCAGGCACCGCATGATGGACGAAGAGGACGCCCCTCCCTTCACCGACGTCGTGTGGCTCAAATTCGCCCACCTGCACCATGCCAGGTGAGGCGTGCATTGGATGCACCACGCCAGGTGAGGCATGTGAGGTGAGGCTTGGTTTGGATTCACCATGCGAGGTGATGCATGGATGGGATTGAATCCCCAGAAATAATGGAATTTCAAACGCACATTGCAGTGCGTGGCAATCTAAATATGTGCTCAGTGCTTTGTGCTCGCCTTGCATGAATCGTCTACCACCATGCCCCTCCCACATGCCCTTCCTCCTATCTTTGCTTCTCTCTCCATGCTGTCTGTTCCTTGGCACTGCGCAGGTTCGCAAAGAGAAAGCTGGACGAGTATCCATTCATGGGCAGCGCGTTGAAAGTTTCGTAACTGCCCGGGCACGAGGCGATGGAGGACACGTGGGCGAAGCTGGAGGAGCGGCGGCGAATCGTGGCCGTCCGTTGCCGACGTGAGAGATGGGGGGATGAGCTGAGGAGGGAAAGGGGGCGAGAGGGGTTTGAGGAGTGAGGGAGGGGTGGGTGGAGAGGGGGAAAGAGAGTATGGGAAAAGAGGGGACCAGGGGGGATGGAGCTTAGAGAGAAAAAGCAGTAGTTAGAGAGGAAGCGAGGAGGGGTGAAGTGAACGTGATGGCATGGCATGAGATGAGTGGCAGTCCATGCCTTGAGGACCTTGGTTTGAACCATCCTGCCGTGCTGCCATGCTGCTGTGGTGCTTGCCGTATGTGGCGGGCATCCTTGCAGGGCTGGCGGAGGAGCAAGCGGGCATGGGGCGGGCGGATGGCAGCAGGGCGGGGTACGGAGAGGTGCATGCAGGGATGGGTGAAGTGACACCTGCGACAGCAGCGGCAGCAACAGCTGCAGCAGCAGCATCAGTAGCACCAGTATCAGCATCAAGAGCAGCAGCACCAGTAGTAAAAGCAGTACCAGCAGCAGTAGTACCAACAGCAGCAGGCAGCATCCCGCCACTGGCACCACTTCCACCGCCGCGTCCCCAGGTGTGCCCCGCTGCTCTCACACTCGCTGCTCCTTGCTTCACCTTAACCACACACCCTAAGCTTACACCTACACTGCACTTTACGCCCCAAGTATGCACCCAACCAAGAACTAGACTCTCGATGCAGTGCAAGGCATGTTGGAATCTTGACCCACCCTCCCCACCCACCCTTGGTTCTTCTCCTCCCCACCCTCCCTCCCTCAGGCACCACCTCTGCCTCTCTCCGCCATTACAGCACTCACTCCACACTCACGCCTGCAGCCCAGCCAGCCACATCAGCAGCCCGCCCAGCCACATGAGCAACACGTGGCAGCAGCTGGCAGCAGCAGTGCAGTCAACACAGACACCAGCACTGGCGTGGTCACTCTTCCGAGCAGCAGGCACGCCTGCAGCACCCCTCTCACCAGCGCCACCACCCAGCAGTGCGGCAGCAGCAGCAGCAGCACTCTCCAGTCTCCACACTACTTCGGAGTGCCCTCCATGGACGCTGCAGTGGCCCGAGTGCGATCACACCTCGCTGCGCTGCACGCCCCACCACATCCCCACAGCACCCTGCCTATTGTACGCCGCCGCCCCCCCTAGCTCTGCGCTGTGCTCTCCTTATGCCATACCCTTCACCTTATCTCCTACTCCTCCCCTCCTCACCCTCCTCTCCCCCTCCCCCCTCCCCTCTCTCCCTCCCCCCCTCCCCTGCCCCTCCTCCCTTTGATTCATTTGCACCTTACAAGCATTCCTAATGTCGCCTCGCAACTGTATTCGTCCATCATGCCACTTCCACACCGCTACGACTTCTCCCCATCGTATCCCATGCCGTGCATGCCCCCCCCTCATTTGTGTGCCGCTCACGTGCCACCCACGACTGCAGACGGGCAGTCCTGCGGGGGAGTGCCTGGCATCGGAGCACGGGACTGGGAATCCACACGAGCATGGTCAAGAAGACACGGGCCACACTCACACCAGGGAGGCGCACGAGCGTTGTACTGAAAAAGAGGGTCTAGGCACTGCACGAGTAGGAGAATCAGAGGGTGTAGGTGAGGGTGCTTGTGATGCCGGGGCAGTACCAGCGGTGGTGCAAGCTCCGGCGGTGGTTCTGCAGACCCACTCGCAATGTGTGCCGCGCGATAGTGCAAGCGAGCGTGCTGTTGTGGTGCAGCCGACTAAAAAGAAGCGTAGACGAATTTAGCTTGGATTGCATATGTAAGACGAGATGCTACTTCTCATTTTTCTGGGTGCTGTTTATTTCGGCCCTTGCCGCATTGTATAGCGCGGATGAAATTCGCACAACTCCCAACAGAGATCGGGGGGGCCTTCCAAAATCCATCGCCAATCGCATTCGTCGCGCCATCCCTTCGACATTCACCTGACCAACACGTCACTGCCAGCTGGCACCCTCGCGATGCCCAGGCCTCCGTGCCGGCCGGCTGCGCGCCGGCCGCGGAATTGCGCTGCGAGAGTCCTCACAGCGGATCGGCGGTCGTCGTCGCGATGTGCTCGCGCGTGCGCGGTGATCGTTATCGCCGCATCGTTGCTGCCTTCACTCTCCCTCGGCGCGGAATCCGCCGAAAAGTCGCGCCGCGTCTCTAGCGAGTCACGCAAATCGAATTCGTCAGGTTCGTCGTGCTGGTCTCGTCTCTCCATCTCAACCGCACGATCGCCAGCCTCTCCCCTCTTGCCTCGTCTCTCCTCTCTCCTCTCCTCTTGCCAAATCGCTCTAATCCCATGCGGCGGCCGTCCCACATGCATCGGGGAGCGCGCGGAGTGGCACCAGCCGTCCGCCTATCATCCCCGCCGTCCCGCTCATCTCCCTCGCTCCACATCACTCTACCTCCCGATCCACCACCCACCCTCCTTCTCCGCAATTCCCGCACCTTACGACCCACCCTGACATGAAAGCTATGCTTCCCCGTCCACCGCTCCGCCGCCTTCCCTCCCCAACTCGCCTCCCACTCCCCGATTGCCTTCCTAGCCTCCCGGCCCCCATCTCCTCCCCATCTCGCCCCTACCGCCGTTCTCTGCTCGGCCCCTTTACCTTCCCCACCCCCCCAGTTTCCCTTTCCCCCACCTCCCCCCTCCCTTCCTCTCCTCCCTCCTCCCCCTTCTCCCCGACACCCCGTTTCCTCCCCCCCCCCCCTCCCCCCCGCGCAGTTCCCCCCGGACGCTGCATATCGCAGGGCGGGCAGTGGCCGCCCTTCTGGCTGCACGGGAAGCTTCCGCGAAAGAGCCCGAGGGGCGGCGCGCAGGAGCTGACGCTGTGCCGCGTGTACAAGGATAGCACGTGCTGTGGGCGCGAGAACAGCGACCACGCTTTAATCTCCACCCGGTGAGAGGCGAAGCAAGAAGTGGGGGTGGGGGAAGGGGAAGGGAGGGGGGGGAGGGGAGGGGGAAGGGGGAAGGAAGCGGATGGGTTGGGGATGGGAGGGGAACAGGTGGTATGGGGTGGAGCCACTTGGTGCAGTGGGGCCGTAGGCTTGAGCGCCCGCAGGTGAGGGCAAGTGGAGAGGGCGGGGAATTTACGTTGTCGGGCCCGTCAGCGGCTGTGCTGTGTGGTGTGTCATGTGCCCCCACGCATTCGTCGTTGGCCCCTCCCCTTCTTCCCCCCCGGCCCCCCCGTGCCCCTCCTTCCCTAATGCATCTGCCCCTTCCCCGACCCCCCTCTGCTCCCTGCCGTGCCCTCCGTCTCCCCGTGCCCTCCGTCTCCCCGTGCCCTCCCCTAGCGTACCCTGCCCTGCTTCCCAAACCCCTCCGCCTTGCCTTCCCCTCCCCCTGACTCCCCCCCCCCGCATTTGGCCCGCCCCGCCCGCCCGTCGCCCGCCCTTCCCCAGGCGGCTGGTGGTGGGGGGGGAGCCCACGGACGACTGCATTGCCAAGTGGGAGGCGTTGCAGTGTGCCACGTGTCACCCCCTCATTGGCACACAGCACGGGCCGCCCGCCATCTGCAACTCGTTCTGCGACGCCGTCTTTTCTGCGTGCGGGGCGGCATTCTTTGCAGCGGATGGCACCTCCCAGGTAGTTACTCCCAGGTGCTCCAGGTGAATTTTCAGGTAGTCGTAGCTTCTGCATCATCTCCTCTCTCTCCATTTGACTCACCTCTGAATTTAATTCCATCCTTTGCCTCCGTCCCCCCCGTCTCTTTATCCCTCCGCCCCGAACCACCTTTCCCCTCCTCTCCCCCTTCCCTCCCACCGTCACCATCTTCCCCCCCATCAACCCCTCCCCCATTCCTCCCCCCCCCGCCCCCCTCCTTCTCCCTCCCCCTCAGCACATCTTCCCGTGCGGCCGCCGCGACACGCTCTGTGCTCGGGCCGACTCCCTTGCCTCCTCCGGCCGGCAGTTCTGCCAGCTGGCGGGCTTTGATTGGCTGCCCAACTCGCACGGGGCGGGGGTGGATAGGAGAGGGGGGCGAGGGGAGGAGATGGGGGGGAGAGAGGACGAGGAGGGGCATGAGAGGGTGTGCTTTGACGGCACACTCCCTTCTGCTGCTGCTGTTGTGAGGGGGAGGCGCAAGGGGGCAGGGGGGAAAGGGGAGAAGGGGAGTGGTGAGGAGGAGGAAGCGGACGAGGAGGGCAGTGGGTGGTGGGAGCAGTGGGCGGGTGGCGAGGGGGGGAGGCCGTTTGGGGGCAGCGTGGTGTGGATGGTGTGTGGCCTCGTGCTCACTGCTGGCCTCTCCTACATGCGGTCAGTGCACCCTCCTCCCACTCCGCCCTCCCTCCTCCCTCCTCCCTCCTCCCTCCTCCCTCCTCCCCCCTCCCCACTTTTTCCCCCGCATGCTCATGCTTGCCTTTGCACCAGCATGCCTCAAATCCCCTTCATCGCTCCCCTCACTGCATCACCTTCCCTCACCGCCCTCTTCCCTTCCCTCCTGGCCCCCACTCGTCCCTCCCCTCCTCACCCTGCCGTGCGTGGCAGGTGGGTGGCGGCACGCAGCCGGCGCAGGAGGCTGTTTATGGGGTTCATCAAGCGGGCAGGGGGCGGGGGGCGGCAGCAGCAGGTGGACGCGGTGAGGGCGCGGCAGCAGCAGCAACTCAATGAGGCTGCTGCGGCTGCAGCTGCCTCCTTCACCGCCACCACTGCCTCTGCCGCTGCTGCCACCACCACTGTGCGCAGCACCGCAAGGCAGGCTCGCTAGTGTACGGCAGGGGCGTAAGGCCATGGGCATGGGGCATCCAGATGTGGGTAAGGGACTCTTGGGGGGGCTGGTGATGGGCGAACAGGTGGTAACTCACTCACCCATGCATAATGTGCCTCACAGTTTGTTTACAAGTTGTGTGAGGTGTAACTCCCAATTAACTTGCATACAAATCGTGTGAGGTGTAGCCCTTCGTAATTCAGTTTTCCTAGAACGTGTTCAGGACGTGCATGAGTGTGAGGGAAAGGAGACGAGAGGGGAAAGGGATGGGGGGAGGGGAGGGGTGGGGAGGGGAGTGCAGGTGAGGAGTTTAGAGGGAGGGAGGGGCACGAAAGCACACGGAAATGGGATATTTGAAGTAGAAGGGGGATGTAGTTGGGCACGCCAGAGTTACCGGTCGCTGGTCACATGATTACAAGTAGCGTAGGGATGAGTTCAAATACGGGGATTGCTTAATATCAAAATAATAAGGTAAGAGGAACTTGGACCCACCTTGAGACACGATTTGCTTGATAGCAGTGGAATATAAGTTTATTTCAGCTAGCATAAAGAAACATACGCGATAGAGAATGCGGAAGTGCATGCCAACCTGGAACTCGCTTCCAGCAGCATTATTGCCGAGTCGAGTTTCTGGAGACTTGTAGCAGGGTAAACCCCGAAGCACACCCACTTTTGCGAGCGCGTGGAGAATTATATGGGGCATCATTCACGGGACACCAATGGGGATGGTCGCTGCTGTGGTACCGACTTTTACCTTGGCAATGAAATTGTCTTCCTGCCGTATTCAAGCAGTGTTTTTCTGTGTAGAGTGCGGTCTTTCGTTCCATTGGCTGGCGTAAGCCATAATCGAATGAGGAGGGCTTTTGGCGACGGTGCTGACGTGTGTCGGGTCGGGGGTGGGCAGGGGAGGAGGGGGGAATTTCAGGGCTACATTGTGCTGCAACTGCGACTCCAATTGGCCCATTTTCAAATCTCCATGAGTTGTGCTGTCTCCTTTCATGTCTCATCTCAACCCAAGGGTGGTTTTCCCTAAATCCAGAACGCTTCCTGCTCGACTCTGCAAATATTGCAAACTTTCCTATTACTGGAACATTCTTATCAATTCCTAATCTCTCTACACCCTCATTCTCGCTAGACTGACCTCGGTTATACGAACTTGCAGGAAGAAACAGAATGGTTGAGAGCGGTTAAAGATGGTTCATTAAGACAATTTTAATAAGACAAAATCAGCCTGCCAGACGCCCGCTGGTGAGATGACCGAGAATTAGGGTGTAGTTATATCTTCAGAACGTTTTCGGTGTTTCGCGCACAGTTCCAAGCATGTCTGAGTTTCGAGTAGCCAAGCATCCTCCCCACAGCTGGAGCATCAATGTCCCCCTCCATGCTCTCCTCACTCTGGATTGCCAGAACGCGTTCCCTCGCCCTCCGCGAATCAGACGCCGGGATTGGTGATAGGGAAAAGATAATATTGGGGCCGAACATTAGCAGGGAGGTGACCAAATTAGGGCCAGATAGCCGAACCTGGAATTTTGGAGCTAATAGCCGACCTTCCCATGATCGCGTATGCGATTTTCACTTGTCAAAGGTTCTGAGCACCCCGCGCGTCGTAAATGATGGAGAGGAAACTTTTCCTTTTATGTCGAAATAACTCAGTATTTTCCACTCGTTTGCGCTACCAAGCACTAAACGACGCTACCGGGAACTGTTAAGGCAGGGCAGAAAAACTAAAACCCCTAGGAAAGCTGGACGCATTTCTGGGAGGGATCAACCCTAAACACGGGAACCCGCCTGAAGTTTAGGGTTGATGCCTCCCCGAGTCGCATCCATTTCCGATTGGGTTTTTTTTTTGTTAGGTAAAGTGATGTAAATTTTCCGGAAAACAATCATGTACTTCTGTTCTAAGTAATATAAACACGACGAAACCACCCCCAGAGGAATACGACGCGAGCTTCGTCATAGGCGGCGATCTTAATCTTAAACAAAACATTGAACCGTTAAAGTCGAGATTTAGTAATTTCCTTTAAATCCTGGTTCGGAACCTCGGCCCAGCCACCTCGGCAGCCCCGGTTATATATCCAACGGTTGGGATTAACCCGGCCCTAATTTTGTCACTTCTCTGCTAATGTTCGGCCCCAGTTTGATATTTTCCCTTGGTGATAGGGGACTCCCTCAGAGGCGAGGCGAGGCGAGTCGGGCATTTAGACGGCCTGGCGATTCGTCGGGTACAGTGATGCACTGTGCGCCTTTACTGTACTGCCAATGGCAGGCACATGCGACGGGAAGCTTGTCGCAATGCACGGTACGGCGCGATGGTTCATCGCCAACTTGATCGCACTATGCCAGGGCAGGGATGAAGCAAGAGTGATGCTTGCTGATGCCATGCCAACCCATTATGGGTATCCCATAATGCAAGGCGGCAGCGACGAGTCAATCGATTTTTATCCGACGCAAGCAAGGCCGCATGGGGGGATCGCGTTCCGTTGAAAGCATGGCCTCGCTCATTTTCCATGTGAGCGATCGCACATGTGGCTCCTCGCCGGGATCTGATAAACTATCAGCCATTCTAACGGAGAGTGTGAAACGAGTCGGACAGATAGCGATAGAAGACACAGCGGTAAGGGTGCGGAAGTGGGGCGCATTATTTCCATGCGAATTCATATGCTCCATTAGCTTCCCCCTAGGTATTGAGACATTCGCGGGGGGCAACCAAGCCGGACGTCGCACTAGGATATAACGACATGGAGTTCGAGCAGCGCACGACGCGAGGCGACATCTGGCGAGCTGATCCAAGCTACTCGTCGAGCGACGACGACTCGACGAACGAGACAACAGACAATGGGGGCTCGGGAATCCTTCCGCGGAACGCGGGAGGGCAGCCCGCGGGCGCCGGCAACGGAGACGGGCCGGGCGCGCGGGAGCGAGAGTGCAAGGGAGGGCGGTTTCTGCGGGGGAGCCAAGACTCTCAATCCCCGCAAGCCGCTGTTACCGCGACCGGCGCTGAAGGCGTCTCACGTTCCGCGAACGCCGCCGCGCCGCCGCTGCCCCGCCTGGACGCGATGGGCGGCGCGGCGAGCCGGCACGTGCGCGTGGTGAAGGACGCGGCGCTGTGGTACTCGTGCGCGGGGCCGCTGGTGACGGTGCCGGCCGTGGGGTCGCTGGTGGTGTACTTCCCGCAGGGCCACGTGGAGCAACAGCAGCGCCTCGCGCAGGTAGAGCCCGTGCCGCCATTGCAGCGTGCTGGGTCGTCACGACTAGATCACTGAGTGACGTTGCCCAGCCCTGGGTGGAACAATGCACACGGCGAATCTCAGATTATTCGGATGGTCCACGTGTGGGGCCGGTGTTTGTGCTTTACATCCGCCGCGCTTCACGGGCGGCGTCCGCCTCTCCGCCTCCTCTGAGGAGTCTCCCCCCGTCCCGTCCACGGTCTCTCCTTCCTTTCCCCGTCTTGATTCACGTTCCCCACCCCCCCACCCTTTCCTCCCCCCCACCCCCTCCCCCGCAGCGCGAACCACCGCGGCTGACCGAATCGGAGTCGCCGCCCCGCTCGCCGCCGTCGGGGCTGTCGTCGCCGATCGCCATCTCCACGTCAGAATCGCAGTCGCAGTCGCACAACAGCGGCGACGACTCGCCAAGCCCGTCGCACGGCAACAGCGGGTTGAGCCAATCGCCCAGCCAATCAGACTCGAGCGGCTGCACCCTCCCCAGAGGCCGTGCATCCGCTTCCCCTCCTTCCGCCGGCCAATGCGCGCAAAGCAGCGGCAGTCCTGGCGGGCGTGGCGGAAGCGGCGGAGGGAGAGGCACGTCGCGCGGAGCGGACAGTGGGAGCGCAGCGGAGAGCGCGCAAGCGAAGCGGCGACAGCAGCTGCCGCCCAGCCACATCTTCTGCCGCCTGACGGCCGTCGCGCTTCAGGTACCGCCCGCATTAACGCGCGACGCGACACTCGCAGTAGATTCCGCCGCGATGTGACGGAGCGCTCTCGGCGCGCGTCCACGGCTGATGGCTTTTCCGCCGCGACTACTCCCCGCCAGTTCGCCCTCCCAGCGGGATTGGTCCTGCAGATGCCACATTGCATACGCACGTGCTTCCACCCCCTACCGCCATTCGGTCTAACCCACTCCTCTCCGCCCCCCCCGGTCCGCCGCCCGTTCCTCTGCCCCGTGCGCAGGCGGACGAGCGCACGCACGAGCTGATGGTGCGCTTCGAGCTGCAGCCCGTGGACGAGGTGAGGCGCCCTTCGCGGCTCAGCCTTGGCGCGTTGAGTTGTTGAATTCGGTGTAGAAATGTATGAGCGTGGGAGTGTGTGCTTGCTTGCCCCTCCTCGCCCTGCGCCTGCTTCCCTGTGAATTCGTTCGTACATTGCCCGCGCTATCCTCACTCCCTTCGTCCCCCTGTCTCTCACCTGTGCGCCATCCCTTTCCTCCGCACTTTCAGCTGCCCTCCCCCCTCCTCCGCCCACTGTCTAACCCCCTTCTGTGTGTCTGCTCGCCCGTTGTCCGCCCGTGCCTGAGCAGGCGGAAGCAGTGAGGGCGCAGGCAGCGGCCAGCCAGGAGGCGCGCAGGGCAGGCGCGGCAGGGAGGAGAGGCGGGAGGCAGGGGCGCGAGGGGGAGAAAGCGGGCGCGCAAGAGGCGCGGGAGGAGGGCGGCATGGACACAGACAACGGGCGCACGCAGGCAGCGCGTCCGGGGGGGCTGCAGGCGCAGGCAGCAGCGGTGCAAGGGGGGGTGCACACGCACATGGGCGCGCACGCGCAGCTGCACATGTGCTGCAAGCGCCTCTCCACCAGCGATGCCGCGCCCCACGGCGGCTTCTTCATCCCCCGCAAGGCCGCCGAGTCGCTCTTCCCCGCCCTCGTAAGCTCCCCCCTCGTGCGCCCCGCCCTCGTCACCCCCGCCCCCTCCCCTCCCCCGCGCCTATGCTGCTCGCCACCCCCCTCGCCCCTTGCTTTGCACCTCTGGCGCCAGCCACCCCCCGCCACTTCGTGCCACGCCGGTCCACCTTCGTATTCTCATTCCCGTTTCTTCCTGCATGACGCGACGTCATGAAATGGCATGGCATGGGCCACCACAGGACGCCAATGAGGAGGGGCCATGTCAGCAGCTGGTGGCATCTGATGTGTTCGGCCGCGAGTGGAACTTCCGCCACGTGTACCGCGGGTCGCCGCGCCGCCACCTGCTCACGGCGGGGTGGAGCGCCCTCTGCGCCTCGTGGGGGCTGGCCGCCTCCGACCGCATCGTCTTCCTCAGGTGGGCTTGGGACGCATCCCCTTGTTGCCCGCACCCTCACGCCACGTGCGTCCCCTCCCCACCCTGCTTCTTCCCCTCCTCAATTTCTCTAGCCGCCACACGCCTCTCTCCACCATGCCATCCCTCACTCTGCTCCGCTCGCTCTCCCCCCGCTCTCCCCCTCCTCGCCTGGCAGGGCGGGCAACGGGGCGCTCAAGGTGGGCGCGAGGCGCAGCGAGGCCGTGCTGGCAGCGCAGCAAAGGCGGCAGAGGGAGCGGGAGAGAGGGGGCGGGGCAACCGACTCTGCAAGCAGTGCGGGCGCAGCCAAGGAGGGGCCGAGCAACTCGGTTGCACATGCCACAGCAGCAGCAGGAGGCGGCAGAGGTGGTGGTGATGCTGCTGCGATGATGGTGACAGCGAGTGAGGTGTTGGAGTGGGCGGCGCACTGCCACGGCGTCAAGAGGGCCTTCTCCGTCGTTTACCACCCCTGGTATCCCCCCTCCCTCCTCCCCTCCTCCCACCTCCCTCCTCCCTCCTCCCGCCCTGCTCCCTTCCCCTTGCTCCCCTTCCTCTGCTTGCCTTGACTTTCTTGCTTCTCTCCCCTGCCCACCCTTTCCCCCATCGCTACCCGTCCCTACTCCCCTCAACCTCCTCGCCTCGTCGCCATTGCACTCGTACCACACCACCCATGTCACTCCCTCCTCACACCACCACTCTCTCTCCCCTCCACGCATCACGACCCCCTCTCACCTCCCCCTCTCTGCGCCTCCCCTGTGCTCCGCCCATCCCCCCATGCCCCATCCCCCAGCGTGGCGTCAACGCCAGCGCCCTTTGTGCTGCCGCTCACCGCCTTCTGTGCGGCGCTGCGCCTCAAGCAGCGCCTCACGGCGGCCAGTGAGGTGCGCATGGCGTTCGAGACGGACGAGCTGACCACGCACCGCCTGCGCGGCACCGTCACGGCCGTGCACAGGGCGGCCAGCGGCGTGTGGCCGACCTCCCAGTGGCGCTCAGTGCGCGTGCGCTGGTTCGACTGCGACCCCTCCCTGCCCCGCCCCCCCCTCGTCTCCCCCTGGCACCTCGACGACTCGCTCCCCTCCGCTCCCCGCGCCTCCCCTTCCTCCTCCTCGCTCTCAGCGCCCATGTCCCTCTCCCTCTCCACCACCTCCTCCCTTACCGCCTCCGCGCCCTTCCCCTCCTCCTCCTCCTCCCCCTCCCCCCGTCCCCTCGTCTCCCCCCGCCCGCCCTCCTCCCCTCGTGACCCCCGACCCGCTCGCTCCAGCTTCAGGGATTCCGCGTTCCCCCCTCTCTCCGCCTCTCCCCCCCTCCACACCTCCCCGTCCGCGCTCATGCCACCTCCCCCCTCCCCCACCACGCCCAGAAGCGCCTCCTCCGCCCCGCTCCTCCCCTCCGCCCCCATGCCTCTGCGCCTGCCCCCCTCCGCTTCCCCCTGCCCGTCCCCCAGCGGGGGGAGGCGCATCAGCCCGGCGGAGTGGCGCCAGTGGCGCGCGCTTGTGAGGCAGACACCCTCCGACCACCCCCTTCCACTGCCGCTGCACCTCCCTGCCAGGGGGACGGGCAGGGGCGGGGAGGGTGAGGGTGGGGCTGGGGAGGGAGGGCGGGAGGGGCGCGAGGGAGGATTGGAGGAGGAGAGATTTGAATGTGGAGGGCGGCAGCGAGACGGGCAAGGGGGCGTGTGGGGTGCGGGTGAGCGGGCTGTGTTGGCACACACGGCGGGCATGCTCGAGCTGGCAGGCGGAGCATCAGAGGCAGCGGCGACATCAGCGGCATCAGAGGAGTGCGCGTCTGTCACCCCGCCACTGTCTCAACGGCAGCTGCAGCAGCAGCAGCAGGGCGTTGCTACCCGCCCGCTCGCCCGGTCCATCGCCCCCAACGTGGCAGCTCTGCTGCACCTCTCCCACACTCGCTCTCGCTCCCTCTCACTCCCTCCCACACCCTCACACTCACACTCGCATTCGGACAAGAGCAGCAGCCGCAGTGAGGGTGGAAGGCCAGCAACCCCACGCCCCACCACACGCCTGCCTCCCGCCGCACCACAACAGGCCGGAAGTGGCGTCGCAGCAGGCAGTGGGGCGTGCAGCGTGCTCCCACCCGCCAATGGCGTGCTGCCACCTGGCAGTGCGGTGCGCAAGCGGGTGCGCTTCCAGTGCGACCTCGACCCGCCTGCGCCCTCCCCTCCCCCCCACTCCACGCAGCCGCCCCATACGCCTCCCCAACCCCCCCTCCGCCCCCTCCCCACACCCCCCTCCCACGCTGCCCTCCCTCCCGGCGCCCCTCTGCCTGCCAGGCTGTCTCTCGCCTCGCTGCTTCCACTCACTGACTGCCACGTGGCAGCTGACTCAGCGGAGGAGCGGCCAGGGAAGAAGGCAAGGAGTGCCGTCCCGTGTGCCAACTGGCAGAGCGGTGACGTGGAGGGTCGAGTGGAGGAGCGCGAGGAGGAGTGTGAGGAGCAAGAGATGCGTGATGCAGAGTGTGGGAAGGGAGTCGAGGAGGAGGAAATGGTGGAAGCGGCGCGAAGAGAAGACGCGGAGGGAAGGGATGGGGAGGAGGGAGGGAAGGTAGAGGAGCAAAAGGCGGAGAGAATGAAGGGAGAGAAGGCAGAGGAAGGAGCAGAGGAGGGTGTGACGGGCGGGCAGAGCCATTCATCGTTTGAAGTAGCGGCGGCATCCCTGCTGGTGCTCAAGCAGGGGGGGCAGCACACGGCGCCTGCAGCAGGAGCAGCAGCACCAGCGATGGCTCCAGCAACCCCACCAGCTGCATCTCCACCAGCAGTGCCTTCGGTTCTCGCCCTCTCGCTCTCCCCGTCACCCCCTGCTCGCCCTCTCTCCATCTCCCATTCCTCAACACTTCTCCCTTCAGGTGCCTCAGGTGCTTCAGGTTGGTGCGACCCCCTGGCTCTCTCCCTCACTCTCTCTGCCCCTCTCGCCCCACACTCACCACTTCAATCCCATTCGCCACAACCGCAGCAGGTGGGGGTGGGTGGCGCTGCGGTGGCACACGTCAGGCATGACGTGGCACAGCAGGTGACACAGCAGCCTGGCGTGGTGAGAGGCGTGGTGGAGGAGAGGGGAGAGGGCGAGTGGGGAGCAGGGAGGAGCGCAGTGGGGGTGCGGGAGGAGGTGCCTGCGACGCCAAGGCAGGGTGCGGAGGCCACGAGGGGAGTGGCAATGGACGGTTGTGATGAAGCCATGGCGCCGCGCATTGAGGCCCGTGCACCTCCCTCTGCTGCTGCGGCCAGTCCAGCGTGTGAGGCAGTGCAGCCAAGCTGCCATGCTGCTGCCGCTGCTGCTGCTGCTGCTGCTGCTGCTGCTGGGCGGTCTCGGCGCATCAAAGTGAGTGATACCTTGATGCATGTATGCATGCGTTGCTGCATGGCGCCATGGTTGCATGGTTGAGTGGGTGCATGCACGTATGCCGCCTTCTCACCCCCACCCGTTGTGCTCTTTCTCTCCGCTTGCCGTTGCTCCTCTCAGCTGCGGGTGGAGGGCAGCCCGGTGGGGCGCACGGTGGATCTGAGTGGCATCGGCAGCTTCCAATCGCTGTACGCCACGTGTGCAGCCATGCTGCAGCTGCCACTGCAGCAGCCGGGGCAGCCCGCAGAGGGTGCCACGTGTCCCTGGCAGCTCACCTACACCGACGCCGACGGTGACACGCTGCTCGTCGGGGACGGGCCATGGAGGTCAGTCCCCTCCCTCCGACCCCTCTCCCTCCCTCTCTCTGCTCCTTGTTGGCGACGGGCCAAGGAGGTCAGCCCACCCTCACTGCACCTCCTTCCTCTCTCTCTTTCTCACTGCATCTCATCCCTCCCTCTCCCTCTCTTCCTCTTGTCCTCTTCCTCTTGTCCTCTCCCTCTTGTCCTCTCCCTCTTGTTCTCTCCCCCTTGTTCTCTCCCTCTTGTTCTCTCCCCCTTGTTATCTCCCTCTTGTTCTCTCCCTCTTGTTTTCCCTCTCTCTCTCTCCCCTTCCCTCTGCTGCTCCTGTACTTGCTGCATCTCTGCCTGTTGCTCATGTCCTGCATCCCTTTTTATCCCTGTGAGCTCCGCACCATGACTGCTGCGCTGTACCACTTGCAGAAAGCTGTGCTCATTATCGTCCACCTGGCTGCCTCTCATCTTCTCCCGTGTGTCGCTTGCAGTGAGTTTGTGAGGGATGCACGGAAGTTGAGTGTCATAAGGACGCCCAAGCTTCAGCAATGGGGGGAGAGTTGATGATTGCAGCTGCAGCTGCAGATACCAACACAAACACAATACACTACAGATGTTACCTAAATGTGTTTGGTAGAGTACCTGTAGTGGTAATTTTCTTCGATATGTTTGTACGCTAGGTAGTAGTAGATGGTTTGTACCAATTATTTGTTTCATCCATCCATGCATACGATGGCTGCCTCTCATCTTCTCCCGTGTGTCGCTTGCAGTGAGTTTGTGAGGGATGCACGGAAGTTGAGTGTCATAAGGACGCCCAAGCTTCAGCAATGGGGGGAGAGTTGATGATTGCAGCTGCAACTGCAGATACCAACACAAACACAATACACTACAGATGTTACCTAAATGTGTTTGGTAGAGTACCTGTAGTGGTAATTTTCTTCGATATGTTTGTACGCTAGGTAGTAGATGGTTTGTATTATTTGTTTCATCCATCCATGCATACGAGGAAGACGCAACGAGAATAAAAATCAAGAATAAAGCATTATTTGCATGAAATAAAATTCGATATGAAAGAACATATTCAATGCCCAAGTTTTCAGGACTAGCTATTGAATACAAGCAAGCAGCGAGGAAGAGTATTTGAGTCGAATCCCACATAATACACACCCTGAAGCATCTTAATTCTCAGGGCTCGGAAACAAATCAAGCCATTTGAATGCCCTTGTACGACGCGATCGTAGGCAGGTCGTGGCCGTCGTACACGGTGTACAGGCAGTCGGGCGACAGCACGCCCGACGTGCGGTAGTCCTTCACGTTGCCGTCCAGGAAACCCGCACCGCTCGGCCCGTCGGCAGCAATTGGGCGGCCAATCACCTGCGAGAGCGTGTTGTAGTCGAGCGCGCGCTTCTCGCGGCCGTCGCGGTAAGTCTGCCCCATGATGCCGTGGATTTCATCGGTCCTGTAGATGTGCTCGAAATGCACGTTCAGATGCGCCTCGGCGTCGTCCTTGGTCTGCAGCAGCGGGTGCGCCACGCGGAGCTTGACGCCCATCGTCAACAGACCCTCGATCTCCAGGTGGTACGAGTCCACATCGAAGAAGCCGCGCCCCGCCTTCTCGTACGCCTCGAAAGCGAACGTGAGGCCGCCCTTGAGCGAGTACTTCTCGCCGAGCTTCAGCAGCGGCAGCACGTGGCCGTCGTACTCGATCTCCTTCAGGAAGCCCTTCCCGCGCGCCGTCTTCTTGCCGTCACGCGCCTGCAGGCGGAACGAGTGCTTCTTGCCGGAGGCATCCGTCCACAGGAAGCCGAGCTCGCGGATCCACGTGCGCACCGCCTTGCCGTTCTTGAGGATAGACGCGCCAGTGGTACGCGTGTCATAGTAGCCGCGCATGCGCATGTTCACGTGCAGGTTGCGGTCCGTCAG